TGACCACGCACGGTTGAAGGCAAGCTGCCCAGAGGGAGGGGGAAGGCAGCGCTGAGGAAATATCGGGAAGAACCTCAGCATTGTGAATTGGTTCCAGTTCAGCAAATTCCGTTTTCTCCCTAGTTTCGTAAGATTATGTGTGGCATTTATCACTGATATCTTAATTGGCATGTTATTTAACTGCTTTAAACACTGTTTTTGATAGTTCTTGCCCAATAAAAGCTGTCCTTTTGAGAAAATGAAAATCGTTGAGACATTTAAGATCAGTTTCTGCTTAAAGCATCCATACAATCTTAGTGTGGCTACTTCTTATATCTTTGCAGGGAGTCAAAATGGAGTTTTGAAAACATACTTGGCAAAGTAAATCGCCACAAATAAAGTATTTTGGCAAAGCCAACTACTTTTGATGGCACTTTGCTTTTTTAAAAAACAGATATTTTTTTAAAAGAGAGAAAAATAATTGTTGATGCTCTCACTTCTCATCTCTGCAGACATCAGAGAAGACAACAGGAAGGAGCACTTCCATGCATTTTCCAGAGAGGTTTGCAGTTCTCCCTCCCCACAGGCAGCTCTGGCTTTCATGTAGGTGTATGGAAGCGGTGTAAAATCTGACCTGCAAGCGGAGGAAGTGTGGGAATGGGGACCCAAAGGAGTTGAAGTGTTGTGCCTGTAACCAGTGCACTCCGATGCTGTGAGCCAAATGGGTCATTTTTCTTCTGTATTCATCAACGGTGAGCAGCAGATCAGGCTCAAGAACAGCTGAAGAGGATGAAAATGCATAAAGCTGCAAGAATGTCCTGATCTTGGGCAAGAAAGGTGCCTTGCAAGGGAAACACTATCTGTCTGTTGGGTTTGCTGAAGGAGGTTTTAGGCAAAAAAAGGTTGTCTTCACATGGAGAAGGTCTGTGATGGCAGAGGGCCCCAGCTCAGCAAGAGAAAGCACGATGACTTTCTGCAGACAGAATCTTATGTAGGAAAATAATTCAGACTGGAAATGGGATTAAAAGCGCTATTGGTGAAGATAAATAACTTTTGGAAGAACTTACCAGGAGATGCCACTGTTCTCCTTCATGGGAAACTTCAAAGCCAGGCTGTTGGGAAAGAATGGGCTCCAGTGAAAGCACCAACAAAGCAGTTGGTATGCAGGGACAAGTGCTTTACAGAAAGCAGGTTGGAGGGCTACAACTCTCCTCCCAGTTTTAAAAATTGCTGGCTGTGCTTCTCTAGGGATGTGCCCTCCAATGCCTCAGTACGACAGCTGGGCCTGAAGGAATACCAGGAGAATGGAGGGCAGATGGCCCTGCCTACGAGCCATCTCAAAATGCCACCTCCTGTACTCACTGCTGGGGACAGGGTGCTGGGCTAGAGGGACCATCACAGGGAGCTAGAGAGACATTTCTTACGTTCTTGCTTAAAAGCTCTGGTGAACAAAAGAGGAAAATATTAACTAACAGTGCAAACACCTCTCCTCAAAACCTGCTGTGAGACCCAAGAGAGCAGATGAAGCTTCACACTTAAAGTTTGTGTCCAAAGGATGCAGAAAACTGCCTGACACCCCAGCCAGGTCATGGGAAATGCATCCTCAACGTGCCCCATTCCCCCCACGACTACAAAGGGAGCTGGACACACTCAGATAGAGACACTCATGGGAGAGGTGCCTAGTTGGCACAGACTCTGCTCCTGCAACCCCTTGCCAGGCAGAAAATGGATTTGTGCCTTGGCTAGAAGAGGGCAGGGACCCATTTAAATAGCCAACTAGCATCCCTAAAAGACATGACTGAGGGTGTAAAAGGAGCCCTTCCCTACCCCAGGATGTCCATGCGGGCTGTCCCTGCTAGAGGGCATTGGCAGGTTAGCTTGGCCTGGTTCCTTCCCCAAAGAAATATTAAATAGTGGAGCCAGGGTACAGCCCACGTCAGCCAGCCTTGCCAGAGGTCCTACTGACAGTCAGCAACAGGCTGGTGAGACACCTGAATGGATACAGATGAAGCCCCTGAACAGCATCCACTTCTCCCATCCCTGGGATAAAGACCAGTGCTGGTGTCAACTTAGGTTTCCCCTAAGGCTGTTGGAAACGAAGAGGAGCTCAGTGCTGGCTGCACAGGCTTCATCCTGTGGATGTTGGTGTGGGATGCTCCCCCAGCTTTGTACAGGTAGGGATGAGAAGGGGCCTGGATTGACTGAGTTGCCCGGCAGAGCAGGAAGGGAGTCTGGCATGTCTGTCGTGTATGACTGTCACCCCCAAAAGTGCCCAGTCAGAAAGACAAAGAAATCAGACTACAACCCAAACCCTGCAATTTAACGTTGGTTTGGAATGAGCGATGTGTCTCCCAGGCTGTTGCCCTGCCAGGCCACACGGTGCTCAGACACCCGTGGTTTCCCACGAGTGTTTCCTTTTCACCTCGGCAGCTTGGACTGAAAGGAAAGAGGGCAAAACGGAAAGCTGGCACCACTGCAGCCAGTTTTTATGTCTAGTTGCTCCTGTTACGGTGTTAACCTTGTGCAACTGCACCAGCATTCGAGCTGCTAGAGCATTATAACCCCACGAATATTATGGAGATGCCACTAGAACTGCTAATTTGGCAAATTCCGGATCCTAATGATGATTTAGCCTATGGTCTTTTGCCACGTCCCACTTGCACATTACGGAACTGACTGTCTTGGAAACAACAGCTACAGTCTCCAGAAATCAGCAGCCAGCACTTCAGTGGGATTCACGGAGTGGCCCTTGCAGGCGGACCTGTTCCTCCTCTCGGCTGGCGGCGAGTGACGTTGGCCAGCAGCCACGGCTCGGCAGACGTAGGGTCCTGCCAGAGGCCAAAAGCTGGCTGGACGACAGGGGTGAAGGGTGCCACCTCTGCTGCCCACAGAGGGAATCATGCCCCCCACGCGACACATCCAGCCGAGTCAATCAGTCAAACAGAAAAGATCCCAGGGGATTTGGGTGGTGACAACCAGTGTGAATAACGAGCACCTTTTGCTCATTTAAGGCTTTGGCGGCACGATACTGGCACCGATAACTTGCAGGCTGATATTTGCTGGTACAAAGTGTTTGTGCAGCTACCAACTACAAATCGGGAAGAAATAAATAATAAATAGCTGGATGCTCGCAGTTACTTTGGGAACGGAGAAAAGGATACATTTAAGCAAATCAATTCATTCACTTGTCCTCAAGTCTGTCTCAAAATATTCTCAAAGTGTCTCTCAGCGCTGCAAAAATTATCTCCTCTTCTCATTTGCAAGCAAATGTTAGGAACTGAGAGATACATATTTTTCCCGTATTTAATGTATTGGAGGGGGGGTGGTTGTGTCGTCAGCTGTTCCAGCATTCACAATATCCCACTTATTTATCTACTCAGCCCTCCTTTTTTATTTTTTTTTACGCACAAGCTCTGCAGTCTGGCAGAGCCGGTATTGCAGTATTGATTTAGGAAGAGGCAGCTGTGGCAATCCAGTCCCAGGCTGAAGCTCGTGCTGCAAGGGGGCTGCTCCATCCGGAGCACAAGTCTCACCCCCGGTGCCGGGCTCACGTTTAAAAAGAAAGGGGAAAAAATAAAGCAAATCTACTTTTATCTGTTCTGCTTTGAAGGGAAAAAGGATTACCAAGGCTAAATAAGCCATCTGAGTACTTAGCTAGCAAGCCTAAATAGCACCCTGATAGGAAGTTCTGGCAGAGCGCTAATTAAATTAACCCTCTTTGATTTATTAACAAGCAGAGAAACATATCGGACAGGATTGTCCCGTGAAATGAATGTGCTTTCTGACTCCCTCGGCTGCTTCGGCGCAGTCACCTCCCAGAAAACCCGGTTGTGGGGACGCAAGTTTAATGAGCCTCAATGGCTGGGAAGGGATCCCTGCCCACCAACAGAGATATGCACTGGTAACAATACGCAAAATCGTGTTGTTTTCCTTGCACTTCCCTAATTCCTTTTTAATGCCTAGGACGATCTAATGGCTAATTAGTAATTTCCTGCCCACCGATATGCAGATGAATGACAAGCAAAAGCCTTCTGCATGTTTAATTATTCTGTTGATTTAGAAGCCACTTTTCCCTCAGTGCAAGTTTCTCTCTGTGTGTGCTCTCATGCATCATGTATTTCATTATTTTTAGAAGCATGCTCTGTGCCTTTTTATGCTCTCATAGTTCCAGCATCCAGTAATTACCATGTTTTGCGTCCGACGGACCTGATCCACCGGCGAGTGTAAATCAGGAAGACATCCCTGACTTTAAATGAAGTTATTCCAAGTTACGCCAGACCTGAGACCTGACCTCTCCTATTTTTAGTGGTGGGGGGAAATGTTATATTTGTGCTGGGACCCCGGTCAAGTAACAGAATATAACATTTATAAAACTTCAGAGCGCTGAAAACACAAATTGAAGCCCGCAAACGCACAGATGTGAATTTATTTAGATAGCAAGCGCTATTTCTGCTTAACCCCTGCGAGGAACTCCAGCTCTCTTTGCATATTTGATTATTCTCCCTCAGTAAAACATAGTCTACTTAATCGATTTTTTTGCTACTTTCTAACAGTTACGCTGGTGGGCTTCTTCCCTACATTTAGCTTTGGTATCCGAGCGCTCTTTTGTTAAATTAAGGCAATTAATAAATGAAGACGTTAAGCAATCAATTCTGCCTGCATATCTCCACAGCCTTACGTATGACTGGCTGTAATCACAAGATAAATGCAATGTGCTGATGTATGGTAATGTTCAATAATACATTCTCCACCAGGCTCAATTCATCAGGGAGTTTCTGGAGGGGAGGCATTCGTTATTGGCTGTCTCCGGACCTCAAGGATAACATTTCTGTCCTTTCCATTGGCCGCCCCGCTGCTGCAAGCCTCTTCCCGTCTTATTTTGATGATGAATATGAAGGCATGCTAAGCCGTGCCGGAGCGTAGCTCTCGCCGACTGCACTCCCTCCCCGGGCTCAAGGACTCAGGGGCTCCCTCGCTGCTTCCCCTGCCCACCGCCAGCAGCAGCAACGCCAAAAGTTGTGATGCTTTTCTTCACCCAGTGCTTTGGGGCTGTGTTAGATCTTATTCACCTGCGGTTTCAGCACTACAAGGCAAAGAGGGTTTTCTCAGCTGCTGGGCAACTTGTCTGCGTCGTCAACCCAACGCACAGCCTAAAGGTGAGTTAAAAATGTTATTTTTCTCTTCTGACATCTTCTCATCCTCCCCCCACTGCCGACGTTTCTCCGCAGGGAATGAAAAGATGCTCCGGCAGCAAGGGGAGAGTGCTGTTAACAGATTGTAGCCCTGGCAGAGAGGATGTTTGCATTGTCTGGCTGCGTGATTCCCTTCGGAGCGAAGGGAAAGCAACCCGCTTCTCCAAGCGGTCGTGGGAAGTCGCTGCGCCCCCTCCCCAAAGTTTCCTCATCCCTTTCACCCGTGTAATGAGCATGCATGTTGCAAGCCTCTGGAGAAAATGATGGGAAAAGTTAGTTGGATGAATTAACCTCCCTTTTTGGTGGAAGGACGCCGGCTGATCTCCCAGGCTGACACCCAAGCACAGCCGGCTGCTGCACAGCAGTGGGGAACAGGAGGGGAGTGGTGGCAGCACAGGGTTCTCCGGCTGTTGGTCTTGCTTGCTTTTTTGGGGAAAAAGGCTGGTTTTGACTCCTGAGGGGAGTCTGAAGGCATTCCTCTGGCACTGAAAGTGTCCTTAAGCCGTTTGCAAGGTGAATCTATTTTAGGCAGGAGAATACATTTGCCTTAATGCAAAACTATTTATAGTCCCCATAAAACATTTCTCTTACTCACACGGTTCCGGATTTTTACTGACAAAGTGTCAACAGCTCTGTCTGTGGCAGAGTCCTGATGCCTGTACGTAGCAGCAGCAGGGGGAAAAACAGACTGGGAAGCTCTAATTACTTTATCATGGTAGTGAATGACCAACTTTAATGAAGTGACTCTTGTTTTGCTGGAAGTCCTGGCAGAACTGACTTGTGATGCTGCTCTGTGAGCCCGATGCAAGCTCAGAAATGAATGAAATTCAGGACAACTTATCTTTGGCTCTGCTGGGGTCCCTGGAAGGAATTTGAAGGGGTTGCAGGGAGCATCTTTCCCGAGTTGCGGGTCCCCAGGAAGTCCATTGACGGAGTAAATCCCTCTTCGGAGCAGCATCCCCTCTCAAAAAAAGGGCAGATTTCTTGGAGTTATGTTTCCAACCTTAAGCTGCGCTCAGGCAGGGAGAGTTTGTTTCTATCAGGGTGCCAGCTCCCGGAGGATTTCCCTGCAAGGCTGCATTCAGCCCAGTGAGCACTGCTGTCTGGGGCAGGCGCTCCCAGGGGATGGACAGCTTGGGGGCAGGCTCACCTCTCCCAGCATCCTGCTCCGTCACTGACACAAGCTACTTAAAAAACCTGCAGCCCTGTCGTTATCTGAAAGGATCTGGCCATCCAAACAGATAAGAGAAATAGCTGTGTTCCTAAGTGCATGGGGATATTTTGTAAAAGAATGCTTCTGCACTCATCCTCTTTCATGTGACTGTCTCCTGCTACTTTCATCTATAATTTTAATTATTTTTTTAAATCTGAGCAGAAATAAATGTTATTGAAGGGCAATTTCAGTGCCAGTGGCACTGTCTGATGAAGTCCCATAAGGACACAGAGAAGCGTTCACTGACTGCTCCACTTGTATCTAGGACTAGACCTGAATTTATCAGTTCAGTTTGTCTTGAGTAGCAGATTTGCTGTTGTAGGAGCTGCAGCATTTTACTTTTGAATGTATCAAAAAAAAAAAAAAAGATGCTTCTGTTCCATTCTGTTAAACACATGGGGCATTTTAGTGTAATAAAATCCCCCACCGCCAAGCTCTTCACTGCTCAGACCCAAAGCCTGGTAGAGAAACAGCTGATCTCAGTACTGTCTTGGCAGCTCTTGAAAGTAGACACTGGATGCAAAAGTCTTTGGGAAACAAATGGGAGCATTTAAGGAAAGGTCCAAGGTGTCAGTGAAGCCCCAGTGAGAATCATCTTGAGTGCATTGGGAATTGCTCCTGTGATTGCAGTGGGAACCCAATGGCACGTGTTTCCCCACATGGACCTGTTGGGACACCAGGCAGATGGGACAAGCTGACAAGAAACCTCTTTTCTGTGAAAAAAACTCCTACCTGTAAAGTGGCATATGTGTTGAAGGTGCTCCTGGGTTACCCAGCTTACATCCAGCCGGGTAAAGAGAGTGAGCTTCAGCACTGAGATGCTCTCAAGGTGCTCCGTTTGGTTTCCCACCAGTTGTGTAAGGAACGCACCACCGCTTTGTGCCAGCACCCAGGAGAGGCTGGTGGGTCAGACCCCTTTGTGCCCACCCACCTGCCAACGCCAGCGAGCGGTAGGGGCCAGCGGGCTAGCGCCAGCTGTCTCCCAGCAAGACGTCTCACCCCAACTGCCCTTACGTGGTGGTGGAGAGGCAGTCATCTCCCACCGGCAAGGTGCCTTTGTCCAAAATCTGGTGTCAAAGACAAGTCAGATGAACCTGCTTCTCAGGATGCCCATTTTTCCCCTTGGGGACGCACGGGGAGGTTGTGGTTGCTCCATCTAGCAACCTAGTGCAGAGGTTCTGAAGCTGGGACGGGGAAGTCTGCCTCCCCAAACTGTCCCATGTGCCAAATGACACCGGGGGACCATTAAAAATGAAAGGGTTGAATGCATTCCTCTGTGGTGATTTAAAGTATTATGACTACTTTGATGTCTCGTAGTCTATTATTTCTAGCTGGGTCATTTCAACTGTAGCATTTTGTTGACAGCCCCCAAATCTATCTTAACAATTGACAAGTGGAGTGAAAACTGTATTAAGGTTCGCGGTCGATGAATACAAGTCTGCTAGGAAACAAGGGCTAGGAGCAATGTCATTTCTCTCTCTTCCCTTCAAGGCTCAAATGTTTCTGCTTACTCCAAAATTGTAAGCTCTTTGCAAAGGGATTATTTGTATTCTGTATCTCCACAGCACCCAGGCAAAGGGGCTCCTGGCTGACTGGTTGTGCGAGGGCAAACAGTAAATGACAGGCATCAGGTTCTGGTGTGATTACCCACACTGACATCCCTCATACAGGTCAGGTCCTCAGTCAGTGCCAACGTGCATAGCTCCATTAAAGTCAAATTTTCTCTTTCCATCCAGGGTAGTGCTCAGGGATGGTGGTGGGATCCAGCCCAGCCCAGCCCAAAGACCTGTGGTTTGGGATCACACACGTGTGTCAGAGGTTTGGCATCACATAAAACACTGACAGAGGGCAGGGGAACCCTGCTACCCTCCAGGGAAAGGTTGCACCAGCTTCTGCTGTCACAGACCCGTAGCCAGACCATGGGAGGCCTCCAGTAAAGTTATGTCAGCATGCTGTCACTGCAAACACAGCCTGGCCCTCTGACTGTGACCAGAGCCCATCACTTAACCTCTTCCTTCAGGAGAGGTCCGGAGGTTGGCAGAGAAGCACACACTGAGAAAGAAACCCGTGCCTGCCTTCCCGCTGAAAGGCTCATTAACTAGGAAGGCTGATGAGCGATTCAGTGTGTCTTAAAGGAGAAGATGGCATGAGTGTCAGCACAGACACCTCTATTGATCTGCTGCTATTTTCCCTGTGCACAATGGGCTGACACAGGCAGCTCTAAACAAGGAAAGACAATTTTTCAACCATCACCCTCCTTTCTGCCTGTTTGGCAGGGGTATGAATTGGGGGTGTGTGTGTGTGTGTGATGGTGTGTGTTTTGGAGACTCTTTGTCCTTCTTGCTGCTTTCTGCTCTTTGTCCTCCCATGAGCTTCCCCAGGCATGGCAGCACCTCCTTACTGCATGGTGCTATGCTGGGATTAAAATTCACTCGCCAAGCAGAGATAATCACATATTTACTGCACTTCTATAGGTCACCATCATTCTTGATCATATTATGTGCCTTACCTTGTAACTCGTCTTCCTTCAAGTGTGCGCTCACCCTGATATCTCCCCTTGGAGAGGTACAGCCAGGCAACGGAGCTCCCCAGCTAAGTGGCTGCTCTCTCCAAGGCCATATTAATTAGAGGAGAACTGCTCATGCTGCTGGCTGCTGGCCCTAGCGTTCAGGGAAAGTTTTAATGTGCTCCGTGTGTGTTGCAGAAACGAGCACGGTTTGCTGGTCCCTGCAGAGACGAGAATCAATGAATTCCTCTGCATTTTGCCCCTGGTAATAGCAATTCCCCCCAGCACTGCTAATTGCACCCTGGGGAGAAGGCGAAGGTGGGTGGCTGTGTCCTCACTCCTTACCTGGCATCTGTCCCTGCTCCGAAAAACAGCCGTACATGGCAGGGGACTGCAGTGCAATCGCAGCCTGGCCAGGCACAATGTTTTGTGAGATTCTGGGTATGGCTGGTTAAAACAGAACCTCTTCGTTCAAGGAGTTACTAGCTTGTTACACACAACTTAAACTGTTTGAAGAGTGTGAAAAATGATACTGTAAAGACTAAAACAATGTGTTTACAATGTTCTTATAAAGACCACCCTTCCTCATATCTGTAGAACTTAAACAAACTCATTGAATTAAGAAAAGAAGCATATTTAAATAAAGGTGTAAATAGTTCAGTTTTATATTCAAAAAACATTGTTTATGGGGCCAAAGGGTCTTCCAGCTGGTTTTTTTTTTGAAGCAACAAGCAAATCTGCTCTGAGTTAGGGAAAGGATTTGAATCCTGTTAAAGCAGTCTGGCTCTGTGCACAGTGGCCAGCCAAATAGCAATGTAATCCACTTTATCCCCAGCAGGATTAAAGTGCCATGGTGCATTATACCCCCACGAGATCTATATATTTATTTATTTGGTGCAAGAGAGGAGAGGGACTGTGAAACCTGCTGCTAACAACCCCCAGACACCCTCTGCCACCATCTCAGCACAGACATCCTCAAGTCTCTTGTGTAGGTCTATAATTTGGGGAACCCAAGTGGTGTTTGGCCTCAGTGTCCAGCAGATTGTGATACTGATGCTGCGAGGGGCTACAAAACCCCCTGCTGCCTGCAAACCCAGGATGGGACTCAGACACCTGGCAAGGCACCTGCATCCCACTCCAGCTCAGGGCCAAGGCCACATGAGCACTGGGCACCACAGACTTTCAAATCCTTCTATAGGGATGTGGAGGCAGCAAACAGTGCTGCTTTGCTGCCCCTTCATCCCT